GCAGCAGCAGCAGCGACGGGCCACCTTGCTCCACCGAATTGTTGGATTCGCCGCTGGTGAAGCTTTTAGGGCTACGGCTGCTGCTACTGCTGCTGCCACCACCTTATCAGACAATCTCGTCCGTCTTAGCTGCTCATCGCCGTAATACTTCCCCACCCCTCCCCCCTCCCTCCTTTCGTTCTCCAGTCAGACAAACGTTGCATCATCCTGACATGTTTTATACGCCTTAATTTTGCCATCTTAATGTTTCTCTGCGAATCCCAGTAATAGTTTGTCGCGAAATAGATGGCGATTGTACTTTAAGTCTCAAAAATATAAGTGCTGGGAAAAAGATCCTGGGCTATTTTGGGTATCATTCCGCCGCAGCAGTTTTGTTATCCCTGATTTTCCAGAATTTGCACTCTTACGACATTTTATGTGGACTACAGGATCTATGTACTGCTGCTACTGCTCCTTACCGTATAGTACAGAACAGAATCTAGCCAATCTCGTAGCCAGGGATATTCATTGTTCAGATGTCCAAAAATTTCTACAACACTTGTATAGAAAGCTTGTAAGTTTTGGGCACAAACATTTAGGCACTTTGTTGTTGGGTCAGCACTTCACTATTTTTGCATCCTTCTGCTTGTCTCCTCGTTTCTTTTTACTTGCAATTTATGAATTTCTCAAATTTCTTAGGCTTTTTTTTTTAATGATCGTTAATGGGAGTTATGCAACTCAGCGTCGAAGAGCCTGGATTAGCTGCGCCTGACATATTGGTAGCATCTTAGCAACGTCACTTTTAGCGCTCACTGTAATTGCACAAGCGATCCTGATTTTATTGGTATAAAATGTTGATTTTTTTTTTTTTTTCTAAACATCATCCTATCTTTTGTAATCTTTTTCGCACTGCTAAAATATGATGATTCAGCAAAAGGACATGATGAGATGCGCGGCTGCGTTTTGCATTCCTGAATACTGATGAGCCTCGTCGAGCTTCACCTATTCGAAAAGCACAGCAAAAAAATC